AAAGAGAGTTTCTGTAGTTACAGTTCTTAAAAACTAGTAATTCAGACTCCAGGCCTCTTCTTTCATTCAGACTCCTCCAAATGAACTGAGCTGTATGCTGAAGTTCGTCATGTTTCGTTTCAAAATTTGACTAGTTTTTTCTTGAAAAATGGTTTGTCTTGAGGGCAAGGCTGGAAACCTACTTTACTCCCAAATTAGTCATGCTGATGTTGGAGTACATCCATGAGCAAGACTGGAAAGGAAGGAAATATGATGGAAAGATTGTAGGCTGGAATGGTCTATGGGAAGGCAGCGTTGTGCTAGCAGCAATAGAGATAATGAGCTGTGAGTCCTGGGTGCGTTCAGGACGTCAGCAGCTGTGGGGCTGCAACTCTGAACATGGGTAAACGTTCCTCTGCTGTCTCTACATCAAAGCAAGCATTTTGTTAGCAGACGAGATCTAACAATTTGGAAAGTGAGAGCTGTTGGAAGAGCAGAGAGATTTGTGGTGTTGGGTTTTTTTTCCATCTCAGGTGAGAGTTGACACTAACTTTGCTTTGAAGTATCTTGGGAGAGATCAGATCTGATATTCTGCAGTTTTCTCTGAAGAAGATAGCGCCAAACATTCAACTCTCCAAACGGACCCAACCAGTCTGGCCTCCTGACATCCCTTCTTCCTGATTTTCTCTGTCTTTTCGTTGACATGTTGAATTTGTAGAAAATCCAGCTCTAGATGGTCATTGACATCATTGAAATTATTCTTAGAAACCTACTGAGATAGACTGATGTTTGGCAGTGATAAATGTTCTGTCACGGTGTGAAAACAGGAGGAAACTTGGTGTTACAAAGTTTGCAAGTAGTAAGGATAGGAACAGGTCTTGAGAAGAGGAGATTTTCCCATAGTTTGTAGTTAATTGTGTCATTTGCACTGTTGGGCCACTTCAAAGTCAAACAATCTTCTAAGTTGTGTAAACGTTGTTAGAAAGGGAAAAACCTTGTGACACTGTATTACTGCCATTGAAAGCGGGGTATGGCTTCAGGCATGTGAATAAAAGAAAACTAGAAGAATGATGAATGCTGTAAATCTCTGGACCCTGTCCAAGAGCAGAGTTTGTGCTGCTGTAAGAGGACAAGTGAGCGAGGGGCTGTACGACTTATCTGCAGGTACCTGCCCAGCACCACCACCCATGCCTGTCCAGACCTGGGGAGAGCGGATGAGCCAGGGGAGGTTTCGGGCATATGCACGCGGCTGGTAAGTGTCAGCATCCCCCAGATACTTGGCAGTTGTGAACTCAGACTGGCTTTCTACATGTAAGAAGGGAGATGCCATCAGGGATGCAGTCAGAAGAGGTCTCGGAGGTTGGTCAGGTGACGGTGTCGTGTTGGTGACTATGTGACAGGTTGTGCCCTCACAGAGGGTCCTGCCAGGAAACCTGTGGTTCCTCTGTGGTGGCAAAACTGCCCGCAGCCATACGCTTCAGAGGAGCCTTGCAGGACTTCTCAAGAGACAGACGTGAGACACAGATTGCTCTGCGTCTCTGTTGGCTAACAATACTGTTAGTGTTAGCTTTGAATAGGTTTTTACGATGGGGGTGGTTAAGACACTGGAACAGGTTTCCTAGGAAAGCTGTGGATGCCCCATCATGGCAGTGTTCAAAGTCAAGTTGGAAGGGGCTTTGAGCAACCTGATCTAGTGAAAGATGTCCCTGTCCAGGGCAGGGGCGTTGGACTAGATGACCTTTTAAGGTCCCTTCCAACCCAAACTGTTTTGTGATTCTATGATTCTGTTGGTCTTGCAAAAGTCTGATCTTTCAGAACATTGTGGGTGATTGACGTCAAAGATGTGGAGGCGTGCGAAGTTCTGCAGAAAGTGATAGACTCTCATTTTGGTTTTGCCTTTTTGGTTTTGTTCAACTCCTCCTTTGTTTTTGGGTCATGTATAAGGTTAAATTGAGCTCTTTGGCTTCTTTTAAGTGATTATTCTGCAGTTCACTGTGCATATGTCCTGAGCTTAGAAACTCTTCCGTTACCTACCCAACAGCCGATTCTTCCTCCCCTGCGTAGTTTGTAGCACCAGTACTTGCTCAGCAGCAGGGTGCCATGGTTCACGGAAGAGGGAATGAACGTCAGGATGTGGTGTGTGTGGGGATGGACAAGTATTTAAATGAGAATGAGATGTTACTGTCACCTGGCACTCTTTGGAACACCATGTTGTTCCTGTGTCAGTGCCTGCCTCTCACTGTCTTTGTAGGCTTCCCATTGCACTGCCTACTCCGGAAGATTTTGGAGTAACAAAGTCTGATCAGGAGAGGGGGCTTGCTTCGCCTCATGATGGTGTTATGTGTATAAATGCACTCCATTGTGTCATGTTGCAAAAAGTGACTAATTTTTTGCATGCACGTAAGTAACATAAATAAGATTTTCCCCCTGGTACAGAGCACTGGACAGTCACAGTGAAGGGCAGGGGTGGAGGTCAGTCAGGATTTAGAGATATCAGACCATTCTGCTGAGCTTGGGGAGGGACCCTACGGCTCCAATTAGATGCTTTTCAGGAGAACAAATGATGTATAACAAACGTGGAAAAAGTTGTCTTTATAGGAAAAAGATTAAACAAAGTTTTGAAAATGCTAACATTGTTCAAAGGCGGAACCTCGTGCTGGGAAGTATTTTGTCAAAAAAGACAGTTAATAGATAGTTTGGGCATTCTTTCATTTGCTAAACTATGTTATTTCTTTATTTTTTTTTCCCCACAAGGCAAGACGAAAAAAGAGGATGCTGCGAAAGGGAAAGTGCCCCAAATCAGACCAGCTTTCAGCACCAGCAGTGGCGTTTTTCCATATTCTGATGAACAGATCTATACTTTTACTCTTGAAAGCATCAAGCCATTCATTGCTTACCTTGTTGCAGCATGCTCAGGATTTTTAAAAACAAATATTTTATTTTTTGTCTCCTTGTAGGGTCTAGGCTGCAGCACTGCTGTGCCACCTCTTTTTGGGTAACATACCCAAGACAGACCCATTGAGCTCTGTGCTGTGGCAGTCCTCACCCCAACCAGTTGTACCCAGGCTGGGCATCCTTGCTTTTCCTCTTCTTCACCATTAGTAGTGATGAAAGGCCCAGTATCACTGACTGGGACTGTATGGAAATTTGATCATGAATTGTCACCAAAAAACAGTATGTCTTGTTTATTTTAGGTGGTTAATGCAAAGCTTTTGATTTTGCTTTTAATGCAAAGCTTTTGCTTTTCAAAGCTTTGAAAAGTTTTCACGCTGTTGGATTTTGTACAAGTTTCTTGTTTTTAGAAAATGCAACGTGTATGCAGATATTTCCAGATTATTGTATTGCAGCAGAATCAAAACTGAAATTATGTACCAGCAATTTAAAAGTGAAAGGTACACTGGAGGGAATAGGTGGTCATCTCTAAGTGGAAATCACAAGCAGGGAGTGGTTGGAGCTGTGCTGTGGAGCTCCATGTGCTGTGGAGCTCCATGTGCTGTTGGTTGGGTAACGCCAGCCCTGGCACCCGCCTCCTGCAGCGAGACCCCAAGGCAGAACTTAACCCAGATGTTCCTGAACCTGTCACTCAGCATCCAGCTGAGCTCATCTGGGGTGGCAGGCATTGAGGAACCTCAGCTGGGTGTGGATGGGTGTTTGCTGGCCAAAAGCTTTCCCACATCTTCCAGCCTGCAGCGTGTCCATATTTCTTTTGAGAGCATCCTTAATTTTGAGGTTTGTTGGGTTTATCAAGCTTGTTTTAGATGTATGTTGCTGTCCATGTAATATTTCATGCCCTGAAATTGCTGGAAAGTGCTTTGACCTGTAACTGGTTTTTTCCTCTTCTCTTTGGTCCTGGAGTTACCTTGCACAAAGAGGTGTTTTGGGTAGAAGAATGCTGCAGAGCAGGATGGTGCTCTCTGGCTTTTCCCAGGAGGGCTGTGAGATGGTTGGGAATACGACACCTGCTCTAGGGTGCACGAAAAGGAAGGGTGTTGGAGGAATCCAGGTGTCTGCCAACTTGGGTGGCTGGTGCCTCCTGGGATGAGCAGCAGTGAGTCCTTAAGACATGGCCCAGGCAGTGGGAAGCCTGGGCGGGGGGGTGGTGGTGGTGGTGGTGTCAGTCGCAGGCTCCTGGGAAGGTGGGGTGGAAGAGGCCCTCATCTCGGCGTGTTTTGGTGGAGAGGAGCACAGGATTCCTGTGCCCGAATGGGAACAAGACAGGGTCTTCTGTGACCCAGAGTGAGGGCTGGGAAGGGACATCTCCCTCCATAGTCCCTGATTCTGCTCATCGTTGCTCATCGTGCAGGTCATCTCAACTGCAATGAAAAATACATAGCCAGTGGCTGGAGCAGTGACCAGGACCCCTCCCACCCTATTTATTTTCTTTTTTCCCAAGCTTCCTCAGTTGGCTGCAGAACAAAGCTTTCTCTCTCCTGGTCACCCCTCCGATGGGCTGAACTTTGCTCTCTGCTTGGCGACCCACTTGGCAGAAGGAATGTATGGCAGATCTCATCCTCGCTCAAGCCTGGTTATCTTCATTTGCTGTTAGGCTGAGGAGGGTCAGGAAGCCTGTCAGCCCTTCTATGGTTGGGGTGTTACACAAAAAGCATCGCAAGGTGCCCTTTGCCCTCGCCAGTGCCATCCACCCTGGGTCTGGTGGCATGCCCAGGCTGTGCCGAGCAGGTTGGGCCCCTTTGCCACTGTGGCTGAGGTTGAGCCTGCCAGCACGGATCTGTTTAAAGGAGTGGTTGTGCAGGGAGGATGCTCAGGGCCCTGGTGTGGAGGTGCCCCATGGCTGCTGGTAGCCCTGGCAACTGGTGCTGGTGCTCCAGCTGTCACAGAAGGTGCTTTGGTCACCTCGCTTTGGTGACTGACTTGGAATGAGATGGGGGAGGACCTTGGGGTGAGAGCTGACTGTTTCTCCCATTCCTGTGTCCCTAACACAAGCTGTGATTTGCTAATGTTGTTGTGAAATGCGTTTTCCTTCTCTTACAATATGTTTATCTTTTCCTGTTTATTTCCAGATGCTCTTAATATTTTGTTGCTGACAAAAAGTTTACTTTATGTTCGTTGTCTCCCAGGTAAACGCAAAGCGCTGAAGTTAAATTTTGCAAATCCACCTTTCAAGTCCACAGCAAGATTTACTCTAAACACTTCTGGAGTTCCTTTCCAAAATCCACACATGTGAGTATAAAATCAAAGGCACAACTAGTGGAACAACTTTGAAATTATTTAGCCAACACACAGTGTTATTTTAAATGCAGTTTGATTACTTCAGTTATTTGTAGGTTGCCCAAATCTGTCAGTTTGAGTCACTGTAGAAGAATTGTTTTGATTCCTTCCACTGCCCAGAATTAAAAAAAGGTTACATTTGGGATCTTCCTGATTCAGACTGGAGCTACTGCGTTCCAGAATTGATTGGGATAAATTGTAGCTGCCTAAAATGAAGTTCCAGACCTATTGACTGTCATTTTCCCGTCTCTTTATTACTTTTTGCTAGAGAGAAGTTCTTGTTTCGGTGTTACGTGTGAAAGACATAACTGTGATAGTTTGGTTTTTTTTTTCAGCACTAAAATAAACAAAATTTTGAGGATTGTCATTCAACCAACATGGAGTTGTCAGGGAATTACACAGTGATTAGTCTCACTGAGTTTTCTAGACAGCTAGCTACATGATAATCCCTGTCCAAGGTTTGTATGCCAGCGTGGCACAGAGCTATTCCTAACGCTAGTAAGTAACAGTAGTACATCGTCAGAGAAGATACTAGCTTTGTATCCTCAGATCCACCAATCTAGATGGATGGGTGACGCACCCACAGCCTGTACATGTTGCAGAATGCAGCTAGCATGCAAAGGTGTCCCAAATTTTTCCTCTCTAAGCTCCCCAGCAGGTCTCAAGAGTTTTGTCAGTGGCAAGTCTCAGAAACTGCACCTGTAGCTTCCCCTGCTGCACAGACTCTCCAGGGTGTCCCTGATTATAGGCTGCTTCTGCTTGGCTCTGCATGTTGCTGCCTCTCTCCTTGAGCTCAGTGCCTCTGCTTCCCCAGGATACACCCTCTGGAGTCTGTTCCTATTTCTGGTACCTTCTTTATGCCGGGGATTTTCAAGCAAACCTTTATCGAGTTACAAACATGTTTCTGAGGAGTTATCAATGGTAATTACAATTACAATGGTAATTTACAGAAATTTTATAGAGTACTTTAGATGAATATTCTTACCATCCCAAGTGACCTTTCCAGCAAGTCCTCTTCTCTTCTCTTCTCTGAAATACAGTATTCTCACTGGTTGTAGAGCTAGCATTTGTATATTCACTTTTTGTCTCTCCCTCAACATCATCAAACCTTTGTAACAATTTTCTGTAGAAAGCCATCTGGGACTCTTTCCTCTCTCAAACCTCCCCATGTCCATTAAATAAAGGACTTAGTCTCAGCTAGTGAGTTTCCACCATCAGCCATCTACAGGGATTTGATTTTTCTGTGTTTATCTCACAGATTTCTGTCTTTGATTCACTGGAAGTCACAGTGGCTCCTGTCATAGAAGAGCTTCTGTTGTTAGTTGGTGATACCTTAAGTTTTGTGTTTGTGCAAGTGACTGTCAACATTTTACATTAAGAAGGTGCTGCTCTGTCTCTGTGGGAGTTGCAGTTGTTGGCAGGGGTTGGATCCTGGGGTGGTTAATGGTGTAATTGGTTCTGAGGGCTTGGAAGTGTTTTGGGTTGGATATGATAGTTGTTCAGGTGTCGAAAATGATGGTGATGTCTGTGCTAAAGCTTTCTTGGGAGGCTACAAGCTATAATAGCCATTTCTATTTGAAAGAGGTGGATGCTGTTGGTTGGATTGCTTTCATTGTGTTGAGGCAGACTAAGCTTAGATACAGATGATTCATCCTCACATCCTTTGTGTTGTCCATAGTGGACGCTGTTCCTCAAAAGCAACATTCACATCTCCTGGTTGCACGCTGCTCTCAAGTGTTTGTCTTGCAGCTGGTGCATCACAGTGACTTATCTGCATCTCCTGCCTGCTTCCCAGAGAGGCTGGAATGTTTTTTCCTCTGTTGTCTAGAAACCTTTCTAGACTTCAGATTTGAATTGGCTATTCCAGACCTCCTGGTCCAGATGTGATCCCAATGTAAGGTGTGTTTCGGTTCACTGACTTGCTTCTCTTCCCCAGCCTGATGGAGCAGAGTGGCCTTGGCGCTGGCTCAGTGCTGCTGGGGATTTCCCTGTGCAGACCCTGTTGGTCCAGATGGGTGGATCTGAAGATACAGAGAGGTCAATTTCTCACAGGAAATTTGGGTTTCTGTGACTTGGATCCACCAATCCGGAGGTGTCCCATTGCTCCTGCCTCCAGGAGGGCAGAGGGTCCTGTCATCAAATGTGCATTGCCTGCGCCGAGCTCTGGGTGGGGTGTGAGAGGAGGCAGCCAGCAGTGACCTGCAGCTGCCATGAAATATAAATTGCCTATTAGCTGTATTTTGCTTGATTAACAGGGTTTGGTCGGGGAAGTGATCAGGCTGGATTGGTGGATGTTCAGGTAAAACTGTGGTTTCTTACTATGTAGACAGAAAGCAAAGGAGCAAATGGGGCTCCTCATCTCCATGTGTGTGTTAGGGAGGAAACTTCTGCATAAACTGCATCACTGGAGCAAAGACAATGCTGCTGAGGAGGGGAGGCACACTATGCCAGAGATGGCCTTGGAAATTTCAGGATATTGGGTGTAGCCATGGTCCTCCCCAGTGCTGAGGCTCCATACCCCAGTAAAATGGGTACGGACCTCATGTAACTCCATCAAGGTATGAGTTTGGCTTTCTTTTTAGGATTTTTGCCTTGGTCTGAGAAATCTCAGGAGTCTTGGGAAAGAAGTTGGGCACTGTGGAGGAAACCCTTTTTGGGAATCGCTGTAAGCCAGTGGTCGAGTTTAGCCCCTGTGAGCAGATGTAATGCAGCTGTGGGCTGGAGGGGACTCCACAGGGAGGTTACTCAGATCATCTGTGTGTGATTTCTGACTCCATTCATGCTAGTTCGTTGGTTTTAATGGTGTGTTATCTGGAGGAACGATTTCATAGAATCCTAATTGCAAAATAAGGCATTATTAAGAATCTGACCACTGCTTTCCAGTTGCCTTGCATCCTGTGGCACAGAATACTCTCCGTCGCCTGGCGAGCATCACGCCAGCTGTGCTCCTGCCTGGAGGCTGTTCCCAGAGCTTCACTGCTCTCATGGGTAGAGATTTTTGTTAATCTATAGGCTGTGCCCTGGAATACTATTAATTAATACTATTACCCTGGAATACTATTATGGAGCATAGATTAAACACTACTGAATATAGAAGGTTGGGACATGGATTCCCAAATCTTTTTTCTTCCCCCTCCTTGTCTTTCCTTTCCCATCTGTGGTGTTCTTGAGCCATGTCTTACGGTTTGAGTCTCGGGTTGTGGCTGCATCCCTCCAGAATGTACTGCCATGGGTGCGCAGGGAGTGCAGGAAGTGGGTGCCAGGGCAGGATACAGAACAACACGTAGGAATGCAAGACCACATGTGAGAACAGGAGGAGCTGATGAGTGGTTGGGACCTCTGAGCTTTGCTGTGCCATCTCTGTGATGGCCTTGGAGCTGAGAGCTGGTGAGGACCGCAGTGGCTGAGTGGCAGTGGCCCTGCTGCTCCTGCCCCATCCCTGCCCAGTCCATGGCACTCAGAGCCCCTGCCCAGGACACCTCCCTTCTTCCCCCTTCCCAGTACCTCCACTGCCAGCTGTTTTGGGTTGTCTTGAAGGAGGTCATCTTTGTCATGGATGACCAGGAAACCAAGCGAGGAGGAGACTAGCAGAGCAGCAGCTACAACTGCTCAGGCTGGAGTCAGTGGCAAAAGCCCTTACATCTCCAGTGCTGCTAGGGTTTTGCCCTAAATATTTTCTGAATTAGAACATGTGTTAAAATCAGGGGGCTTTGAAGTGATCTTTAAATAGGAGACTGACTCCTCTAATCTCTTTGAATGAGATTAGAAACTGGAGGTACTTCTTGTTGCTGGAATTTGGGCTATGGCTCCCTAAAATCTCCCCTCCTGGTGATGTTGAGGGCTGGGACACCCTTTTTGTAACTAAAAGGCACTGTGAATGGCTTCCTGCACAGCTCCTGTGGGGCAGGTTGGGCAGAGCCCCAGGATGACGTGTTGAGCAGCAAGGAGTGAGGCAGGGGTTTGGAAGGAAGGACCGTTCTTGTTCTATGACTGCATGTGACAGATGGAGCTATGGCAGATGTGCGTCTCGTTCAGTTCAGCTGTGGCTGCTACCACCAAATCTACTTTGTAAGTGCAGAGAGAGATTTTGTCTAGTTATGGCATGCTACCTAGCCTGTCTATAGGGTATCTAGCACAGTGATACACATAACTTTACATGTGACATATACAGGGTAAATGCAGAATAGATCCTTAATTACAGAGAGTAGTTGGGGAGTACAATTCTTACTTGAAAGGATACAATCTAGAGAAGATGTGTTTTTCTAACAGTGGATGCCCCAGTCCAGAGAAGCGCATGCTCCACGTTGTGCCTGGTCAAAGTCAGGAAGGCTGTGTGTGATTGCCATGCTCTGCAGGCTGGGTAACAGTGGAGGCTATGGAGAACTGTCAGTTGAGACCACAGTTCTCATTAGTTCAGGCTGTATTTCTGACTTAGACCAAGTCAACAAATGCTAACTTTGTTTCCCCTGCAGCAGACATTGCAGAGGCTTGACCACACCAGCAATGGTTAGGGTGAGCTCTTCAACTTCTGACCCATTGTTTTTGAATTGCTATTTCCAACTGACTGAAAAGCATCCCCCTTTTACCTCATCTCCTCTGAGTCCAAATAGGATTTAGGCCACAAACAAAATTAGATTATTCAGTTATCTGTGTGTAAGCTCTACAGAGCTATTTGCCAATCATGGCCTTTTCTGAAAGGAGGTTCAAATAACACTAACACAGGGATGATGCGGTGAGATGTGACTGTATGGCTGTGCATGGCAGGTTTGCCTGCAACTATCTGTGTTGTGCTGGCCATCACTGGCAGCCGTTAAACCAAGTTGTTCAGTTGGCTGTAGATGAGTTTTTTTGTTTTCTGGAAAGCATCGTATTCTTCTGGTGCAGCGATGCCTTGATCTTGATTTCAGACTGCAGAATTTAGATCCACCTGCTAAGAAATGAGTATGCACAAA